GAGCCTACCCAAAGGTATGGTATTAACTTTGAGGACCATTTGCTCTCTTCTGGGTTACCATGTAATAAAGTATAATGGAGAGAACACTAAATGGGGAATCCAAAAGACCTGCACTGTCAGGATTCTAAATTAAACAGAGAGTCTAAATCTAAGCCCAGTGAAAATTCATGTCAAATATTAGATGTGTGCCTGTGGGCAAGTAATTTCCCTTCTTTGGACCTCAGTTTCCCCTTCTGTAAGATGATGGGACTTGATTATATGATCTCTAAATCCCTTTTAGCTCTAATATCATGTTCTCAGGTCCCTGCAAACCATAATGCTCTATGATTCTATTAATGCTTCACTGGTGTTATTAGGGAAGACAGTAGTCATTGCTTGTGGTTTTCACCTGAAAGAAGGCTTGGATTTGGGACTCCCTTCTTGAAAAAACTCTATTTCTTAAGGTACTGATCCCTCTCCAGGGTGTTTTCCAGAATTTGCATCGCTCCCCTAATTACCGGGCAATGCTTCCGGCTTATAAAATGTTGTTATATGTATGAGCAATGGAGGGAAGACGGGGAAAAAAGAATAGAAAATGCTGTTGAAATTGGCAAAATTCCAATGTGGGTAATCACATTCTTTAGGGTGGTGATCTCGCCATACACACAGTCTGTGGAGCATTTTGTGAACCTTCTGCATGAAATGCGCTTTAAAAACACGTAAAATATTATTGTTATTATTTTTACATCTGCCAGGGTATTTTTAAAGTCACCAAGGCACCCTCTCTCTGATTGCATGCTCAGCGATCTGTCATCCATCAGTAATCCGTTCCCAGACTGTATATTTGACATTTTCTCTTGAATCACAGTCCAGTAGAATCATAGAATGCTAGAGCTATAAAGGACAAACAGAACATAGAACACAGAATAGCAAAGCTGGAAGGGACCCCAGGATGTTCCACTTCTAACATTCTACATTCTGCATGTTGTCATTTTCAATTCTAACGTTCCATGGCCTCTTATATTTTAAGTTGAAAAAAAAAACATTGTTATTTATAAGCGAAATGACATATACATTGAGCCAAATGTGGTATGACTTGGATTTGAAACTTGTTCGCATGTTATATTATGGTGATATAACAAATGATCATTGAAAACCCATCTTTTGCACTGCTATTTGACTCCCAATAAAATAGGCAAAGCATTTCTTATCTATTACAGGTGGGTGTAGAAAGGTTTCACTAATTAATACTTGTAGAGGGCTTGGAGATCCTCAGAAGAAAGGTGACACAAGTGTGAAGCCTGCAGTGACAGCTTAATTATTATTATTACTCTTAAAAAGCACAGAGAACTTAAAAGGTCCCCAGGCACCTTTCAAAAAACGGAAGCAAGGGGCTAACTCCTTAAATAGTCCAGTATTATTTTGGTGCTCTACCATCCTTCTCCTCCCACTCATCTGCACTCTCCATTTCCATCCCCTCTTTAAACAGATAATTCCTAAAACTTCTACTTTACCTCTCTGTTCAAAGTCCTAAGCCCTTTGCCAGCACAAAAGTGAAAGAGCTTGCCTGTTAAAGCTGCATAGAATTCTCAAATGTGTAGACAGTCTGTATCAATGTACCCTTAATAAATCAATCAGGGATATTTGAATTGAACTATATGTTCATTGAGGGCAGTGATTCTAAATCTATTAGTACAGCACCACTGACAGATACACAGCTTATGTTTATATGGTGTTTTGTAGTATGCAAAGCAGTTTCCTGGTGACAATCCTGTGAGGTTACAGATAAGGAAACAAATTTATAAAGAAGTAGCTTTCCTGAGGTCACAGAGCAGTTAAATTAGAAGCAACTGCCTCTTCAGGTCCTCCTACCTCCCAATCCAGTGAACTCTCCACTATACTACACCCTACTTTGGTCTTGCTTAATTCAACATATCTAACAGTTATTGGGTGCCTATTACGGGCAATACTAGTTGATTAATATGGGGATGATAGAAACATTTTCAATCTGATACTACTCCAGTGACACTGGCCTCCTGGCTGTTCTTGGAACGAGACGTCCTCTCAGCTCTGGGCATTTTCTCTGGCTCTCCCCCATTGCTGAAATACTTTCCCTTCTCTGCTCCAACAAGTAATTTCCCTGGTTCTCGTAAGTCCTAAGTAAAATCCCCCTTTCTATAGGAAACCTTCTCCAATCCTTCTTTATTCCAGTGCTTTTCCTCTTTTAATTATTTCTTATTTATACACATATAGCTTGTTTTGTATATATTTGTTTGCACATTGTTTCCCCCATTAGCCTATAAACTTCTTGAGGGTAAGGATTCTCTTTGCTTCTTTTTGTCTGCAGTACTTAGCACAGTGCCCGGCACTTATGGTAAGCACTTAATAAAAGTATTTATTGAATGGATATCATTTCCTATTTTATTCTAAGGAGGACATTAATTATAATAATACAGTATAAAGTAACAGCACTATGTCCACAGTCCTGGTTTGTTCAATATTTTTATCAGCAAATTGAATGAAAGCATAGATGGCATGCTTATTAAATTTGCAGGCAAAATGAAGCAGGGAGGAATTGCTAAAACCTTGGCTGACAGAACTGATATCCAAAGAGATCTTGAAAAGTTCTGCCACTGGCTAGTTTTGTGACTACAAGCAAGTCCCTTTACCCCTATAGACTTGTCATCTATAATATAAGAGACTGAATAGCCTCTAAGATCTCTTCTGGTTCCAACATTCCATGAATGATTGTAACAATTTTATAGGGATACATTTGAAGTTCTGAACTTAGGCTAAAATCAAAGCAACTGCACATGTAGAGAAGGGAGGAGGTAGGCCGTTCATATGAAAAAGACCTGGGGCTCTTGGTGAACCAGGAATAACCCCTCCTTTCCTACCCCCCCCAAAAAAACCCTAATACAACCTTAGGCTGTTCTAAAATAATGACTAATAATAACAGCTAACATTTATATGGTATTACTATGTGTCAGACACTATATTTAGCGCTTTATAATTATTATCTCATTTGATCCTCACAACAAACCCTGCTATTATTATTCCTATATTACAGATGGGGAAACCAAGGTAAACAGGTTTAGTAACTTGCCCAGGGTCACATAGCTTGTAAGTATCTGAGGCCAAATTTGAACTCAGATCTTCTTGACTCTAGGCTCTGTACTCTATCCACTGTGCCAGGTTAGGTTGATAAGCCTGCTGTTCTCTGTTCATTTAAATCACTTCAGGAGTATGGTGTTGAGTTCTAGGTGTCACATTTTGGAAGAGATATTGAAAATCGATCATAACTAGTGGATCATTACTGTGATGGTGAGAGAAACAGAGACATGACATGCCACGTGAGAACAAGATGAAAGAACTGGGGATGGTGGGGCAGGGAGGAGAGGAGACTCATGGACCATTCATTCTGTTCAGATGATCTTGGTCCCAGAAGGCAGAACTGGAAATGATCAATGAAAATTACAGAGAAACAGATTTCACCTGAATATGAAGAAGGACTTCTGAGTAGTCAGAGCTGTTCAGTAATGCAATGGACTGCCTAATGAGATAATAAACTTCTCAAGACTAGAAGTATTCAAGGAGAATTTGGATGCCCAGTTGTTGGGAAGCTTACAGAGGGGGTCTGTGCTTCAGGTGGGCATTGGAACAGATGACCTTTAATTATCATTGTAAACTGATTTATACTGAAGAGTCCAAAAGCAAATTTTGCCAGCATCTTCCAGTCCTTCCCTGATGTAAAAGGATTCATGTAACTTATCAACATAAAGTGCTATCTTGGTCTTTATAGCACACCAACACGACCAAGCTACCCTGGCCTCTTGTGGATTAGAGTGAGGGAGACCTAAACTGTGTGTAATAAAAAAACCACTGCCTAGAGTTGGAATAAAGGCATGTCGACAGGGACTAGACCCTAAGGTGAAAGATCAAAGCAATATAAGGACTTTGGTTTGGAAGTTCTTCATTTGACTGTGTCTTTCTAACGCTCCACCAAATGTGGAAAACATTTTTTTTTCTCTTTTAAAAAAAGAGGGATTTCTAGGGTCTGTCCCTGGGGCATCAGGTTGTACTAATAATTGGGACAGTAGAGCGCACGCAGTGTGCCACATACAACCTTCTTTCTTTAGGAAAAGTGACCTAGATCAAGCAAAGAAGGATTAGGGACTAGAGTGGGTCCTCCATGCCACCTACTGATTCTCCGTAGAACCCACAGTCCTGGCAGCCTCCACCTGGACCAAGGTAATAGGATACGTGGTGGCAGAGGAAAAGGGCATGATTAAATTTCCCCTCAGAATAAAGTTATGTCTGCACCTCATCCTATATTATGAAATAGGGAAAAACAGCACTAGGCTTGAAGTCTGAACAAGTGGGTTCGAGTCAGCATGCTGCCACTTAATTGTGTGCAAGTCACTTAGACTCTTTGAGCCTTAGTTTTGCATATGTAAAACAATAAGGTTTAGAGCTGGAAGGGACCTTACAAATCCTTTAGCTGACCTACCTGTCTTACACAGTTGCTTTCCGTAGCCTATTTCCGCTTCTTTCAAAAGGGGGAAAGGAGTAATGTTACCTGCGTTATTTACCTCACAGGGTTGTGAGGAAAGGAAGTGTAAACCGTAATTCTGAGCCTCAGCTTTTTCCTCTGGAAAATGGGGACAAAAGTAGTTGTGCAATCTTGAAGATTACTAAGAGAAGAGCGCTATATCGATATGGGTGCTTATTAGAAGAAAGGTTAGGGGCAAAGGGGGAGGGGAATTGCCCCTCCAAAGACAAAGCAACCTTGTCTCCCACTCCCACTCCCACCCCGGGCCTAGGTTAGGAAAAGGAAGGGAAAGGAGAATGGATGAGGGGGGGTGGGGGGAGATGTGCAGCGGAGCCCAGCTGTTGAACTCTGAGCGAGGCGGGCATTAAGCCTGATGGAAATGCCGCGTGCGTGCGTGCGCGCGTGTGTGAGAGGGAGAGAGCGAGAGAGCGAGGGAGCGAGGGAGCGAGGGAGAGGGAGAGGGAGAGTGGGAGAGGGAGAGGGAGAGCGAGAGCGCCGGGGGAAGAAGGGCTTCTCTCAGTCAGCGGCTCAGCTCGCTCTACCGCCAGTTGGTGCTAAGGCAATTGAAGTGGCGGCTTGCAAGCGGAGCGGAGCCAGCCCTGCGCGCTGAGGGGCCGCCCGAGGGGCAGCCGCCAAGCCAGGGAGAGGAAGGGAGCAGGGAACTCCAAATCTATGGTTGGAACTGGGCTTCTTTTTTCGCCAATGCAAAAAGGAATATGCAGTGCATTTTCGCCTTCTTTTGCACCGGTTTTCTAGGGGCGGTAGTAGGTGCCAATTTCCCCAACAACATTCAGATCGGTGAGTGGGAAAGCCTTTGGCTGGGGCTGGGGAGGAGGCTGGAAGTCACTTTCTAGGTTTGGGCAGTGGGGGCTGGTGATCGTTGCTTTGGTGCACCGGCTCTCCTCCGCGCGTGGCCAGGAGCGGCTAGGTTTGCTGCGGACGTGCCACGGCCCCGGGGGGCTGCCAGCGCAGGGAAGGGGTGTCTGTTAACCTTCTCTCCGGGAGAGATGGGGGCGGGGGGGGGCATGGGGAAGTTTGTGCACGCACGCGCGCGGAGACACACACACACACACACACACACACACACACACACACACACTCACACGGCGTGCGCGTGAAATGGTGGAAGCGCCGCTTTGCAAATAGGCTGCGGTTGACAAGGGAATGGTGGGCGTTCAGTTAACCCTTACCCTCCCTTCCTCCATTTTAGAAACTAAAGCTAGCTGTGGTGGGCTGAGGGGATAGATAAGACAGCAGCTTAGCCTTTTCCCGAGAAAGCAAGCAGCCTGAGGCAATGGGGCTCCCTCTCCAATCCTTGCCTCCTCTCCTCCTCCCTCACCCCCACCCCACTGTTCAATAATTCATCAGCCTCTTTTTCCTTTGGTTAAATTACCCCCTCCCCACAAACCTTGAATTTTACCTTCACCATCGGAAAATCTACCCATTTCTTGCCTCGAGCCTTCCCCCACCCCCAAATCCCCATCCCCTTTCTGCTGTCTCTTCTCTTCCATACCATCAAGTAAAAGTGACTCCTGGATTCTTCCAAGATGCAGCACCCCGACTATACTGTCTATCCACCCCCTCCCTTCGATCTCTCCTGGCCGAAACAAAACCTCTCCCCCAACCCCCACCCCAAGCTGCAGGCAGTCTACCAGTTAGTGAACACGTGCCATCAATCAACCCCGAAAAACCTTCGGTGAAGGATGGGGAAGGGGGAGAATAGGGGTCGAGTTACACATGTGTTAAGCGTGGTGTGAAACAGGGACCCAGCTCTGTTAACAGCTTCTCGCCTATTTTTTTTTTCCTCCTCATCCCACACTCCGCCTTCTCTTCCCACCCCCAAGGGATCCGCCGTGGAAAGTTTCCATTTCCCAGAGTTTGTGGGTCTTTGTGTGTCTGTGGTACACGTTGTTGTGGTGGTGCTGCAACGCGAGGGCGCCTTGTCTCCCGGCTCCCTCCCCCCGCCTCCCCCCATCTCCTCCTCCCCCCGCACCCCTCCCACCCCCCACTGCCCTGATGCCTAGCAAAAAGCTTTAGAGTCGGATCATGGCTGGTTAAACTCCCTTTGTTCCCTGACACCTGTTACACTGGGGTTGGGGGGGTGAGGGTGGTGGAGCGGGGAGTGGGGTGCGTTGTGCTCCTGTCTGTGAGGGCTCGTGTAGTCTGTGCGGCAAACTTCTGCGTGTTCACAGGCTCCTTGCTTGGCTTCCTCAGCCAGGCTCCCAACCACCACCCCACCAGCTCGCTGACAGCACCAGCTCCGAGAGTTGTCCCCACCCTCTATTTCATTCATTGAAGGGAGGGGGGAGGGGAGGAGAGATGGAAGAGGGAGGGAAATGTTCAGGGTGTGGTCTTTCAGCAAGCTAGTGTCCAGGAGGGGTAGAAGGGAGGAGAGAGAAGCTTCATTCCTTCCTTAATACTGAATCTGGAAGAGTTTGTTTTGATATTAAAATGGGGGTACAGGTGTATATACTGATGTTTTCTGTATGAGTATGTGTGTATCTGCATGTCTGAGAGTGTAAGCATATGTGTATACATATGTAGATAAGTATGTATATCTCCACATGTGTACAAGGTGTCCCAAAGTTGTGCAGTGTTAGGCACAACAGCTTAAAACAGCACTGTCAGGACGCCCTGTATATTTTTTAGCTATAGGTGTATACATTTGTTTCTATCTATGCCTATGTCTGTGTATGCTGGGCTGTGGGTATGTATCATATGCATATACATAAATTAGTCAGTCCATAAGCATTTATTAAGTGGTGTGCAAAGAGGAGAGAAGAAAGGTTTAAAAAAAAAATCAGTGTCCGCCCTCAGGTATTTACATTCCATTTGGGCAGACAACATACAAAATATACACTGTGTAAATTGAAGCAAATCTTAAAGGAAAGGCACTCACAGTGGGAGGAGAAGTTGTACATGAGTTTGAATGTGCTTGTCTGTGTGAATATGTGCTTATCTTTCTAAATAACTGTGTGTGCAAGTTTGTGTACATTTGTTATCCACATATATTGTACAGTGAGTATTCTGTTTCATATTACATGTAAGTACATGTGAGATTAGTGGATAATATGTGCCTAATTGTGTGTTTATGTGTGTGATATATATATGTGTATGTGTATGTGCTCATATGGTATTGCCTATACAAATTATGAATATATATATATATATGACTAGGTAAACAATATATATTTGCTTCTGTACATCTGTACACACATATGTGTGTGTATATTTATAATTATAATATATATACATGCACATATATGTACACATAGGTCACTTGTGTGGTTTCAGGAAAATAAAGAAGTTTCACACCTCCCCTCCTCCCTGGCCTAAGCTATCATTAGTTGCATGAGATAAACAGGCCCAAATGTTTAGGCACTGAAATGTGGAAAGTGTGGTTATATAAAGCAGGACTATAGAACAAGACACATGATGGCTAGTACAGCATTTTTGAACCCTCATGCTTCTTGGTGGGGGTGGAAAAGTGTGTGTATACGTGGGAGAGAGTGAGAGATGCTTCTGAGCTTCCTGGAATTCATGGATTTTGCCAAAGCTGAGCAGCAAGTGTCAAATCCAGAATTCACTGCAAATTGGACTGGACTATAATGTTGTATAGCAAAGAAAAGGAGACAGCCTGGCATAGTGAAGAGAACACTGGCCAGCGACTCAGATTTCATTCCTGACTTTACCACTAACTTTCTGTGCATCCTTGGAGAAATTATTTTCACTCTGCGGACCTCATTTACCCCTCTGTAAGATTAGGGGGTTGGACTAGATAACTTCTGAGCCCCCTTCCAGCTCTGACACTTGTATTCTACAGTCCCTTCCAATTCTTACTAACATTCTCTGGGCCAGTGATCCTATGAATGGTGTTTAGCCAGTTTCCTGGTACTCTGTGGCTACGTTTAAAACCCATACGGTATGTTCTTTGTTTTTCCTCATAGGGGGATTATTTCCAAATCAACAATCCCAGGAACATGCAGCTTTTAGATTCGCATTGTCGCAACTCACAGAGCCCCCGAAACTGCTCCCCCAGATTGATATAGTGAACATCAGCGACAGCTTTGAAATGACGTATAGATGTAAGTAAACACGCTGCCTTCTCTCCCTTTTATTGTTTTTGACTAGTGTCTAGCAGAGCCCGGAAAAGGCAACGGGGAAAGGTTATTAAATACAAACCCAAACTGAGCCTTATTCAGAGCAAAATTCCTGAGGCCTCTATAGTCATTTCAGTGATTGGTGTTTGTGCACCCCCCACACAATGGACAGACTCTCCCCTTGGGCTGACTGCAAATAACTTGGCAGTCATTCTTCTATCTTGAGGAATGGCAATATGGCTGTGATTTAGTTCCCTGGTCCAGCATGATAAGCAGTGTCCTGCGGTGCTATGAACATCCCGGGGTCACGCAAGAACCTTCTAAGTACTTCAGAGGCTTGTGTCTGGAGCCTTCCTCGCTTCCCGAAGGGAAAACAGCACCCATTTGGGCTAGGCTACATGTAAAAGTGCTTCCTCAAAAGGGCCAGCTGAGATGTTCCACATCTGATAGACTTAATATTGTTTATTTAAGATACTCCATCTACTCATCAAAGCAGCTGAGGCGGTAAACAGATTAATAACAGCAGTATAGGTAAGGAATTTGAGAATAGAATAGATAAGAGCTCATCTAAAGGAAGCAGAAGAAATAGATGGGTTTCAAGTGCCTGAACTGAGAAAATTAAAAGCTTGGGCAATTAACATGCATCTAAGTACATCAAAAGACATGATGAACAGTATGTTGTATGGTTATGCAAAAGAGGCAAAAGTAATGCTCCATAGGTAGTTATCCTATCAACCACATCCGGTCGATGGCACAGCTGCAGTGAGAAGTTTGAGGATGTAGTTGGGCATCGTTAGAGGGTGTCTAGGTCCTTCACCTTCCTTTCTTTCTGCTTTTTCCATAATGGGCAACATGGAGATATTGATCAGGTAACTTTGTATTGTTATTATATAGTGCTGGATATTGTGTATATAGCACAAACTTGCTGTGAAAAATTAAATGAGATATTGTTTACAAACCTCAGAATACTACATAAAGCCAGCTAGCATATTGTTATTAGTAGACTGTACTAATCCTACTAGGTTCTGGTTTGCTCCATTGGTTCGTTTGGCAGAGCATTGGGCTGAAATCAGGAAGTTTGGGTTCTATTACCAGCTCTGCCAATATCCAGCTGTATAACCTTGGGCAAATAGTACCATTTCCCAGGCCTCAGTTTCTCCATATGTAAAATGAGAGGGTTGGACCAGATGATTCAGAAGGTCCCTCCCAATTCTGGATCAACAATGCTTACCTTTATATCTCCCCCTGTGCAGAACAGTTGAGCACATAGATTAATCAATGGGTTATTGAATGAAGGAGTAAATGAATGAATAAGAAGATGACCAGCATACACGTAGAAAGAGAAATGAAGTTTCTTGTGATGGAAGAATGGGTGAGGGGAGAGTGGCCAGGGTTTGCTTTGGATGTTGACTCATTCTGAAAAAGTTAACAAGTGCATGCTGTGTGCAGAGCTCTCTGCTTTGTGATAAAGGTGAAAGTGGATAGAAGGGGGAAAAAAGCTATAAAGGTAAATTAGAACTAGTCCTAATTCATAAGGAACTTAGAATAGGGGAGGAAAAGCGTATATAAAGATGACTGTCATCTAAATTAGTGGCCTGATGAGAAGGGACATGGGTTTGGGGCCAAGAGAGCTGAGTATGAAGCATGGCACATATTTTTTTGCCAGTTGCATGACTCTAGGGAAGTCGTGTGATCTCTCTGAGTCTCATTTGCTCCTATGTCAAATAGGGATTATAACACTTTCCTTACTAAATTGATCTGGGAAAGTGTTTTGTAGTTCGGCAAACCAGGGTAGTGAAAAGAGCACTAGCCTTGAAAGCAGAGAGTAAGGGTTAGAATCCCAGCTGCGCTGCCTACTCGCAGTGTGAACTTGGGAAAGTTAGTTTACATCTCTGCTCTTACTGACTGCTCTGTAAAATGAGGGTGATAATTAATCTGTGCCTCACACGGTTGTTTTGAAGATCACTTGAGACAGTTGGTGGAATGTGCTTTGTAAACCGTATAGCTTTAATGGCAGTTGCATGAATATGCGTTGAATATTAGCAGAAGCAAGAATACTCTGAGGGGGTTATTGTAGAAAGGATTCCTAGCAGGATGGTTTTGTTGTTCAGTCATGTCTGACTCTTTATGATCCCTATTGGGGTTTTCGTAGCAGAGATGCTGGACTGGTTTGCCGTTTCCTTCTCCAGCTCATTTTACAGATGAGGAAACTGAGGCAAACTGTGTTAAATGACGTACCCAAGGTCACACAGCTAGTAAGTGTCTGACACCAGATTTGAACTCAGAAAGATGAGTCTTCCTAACTCCAGGCCCAGCACTGTATCCACTGAGCCACCTATGTGCCCTTAGGCAAGATGAAATCTTGTTCTATTCTGTCCCGGCCAGATAACTTCTGGAGTAGGTGCTACATTTTAGGATGCCGAGCCGTATCCAGAGAAAGAGAATCTGTATCTGATGACATGCATACCGGCTGAAGGAACTGGGGATATTTAGACTGGAGAAGAAAACATTGGGATGGGAAGGGGAGAGATCAGAAGTGTTTTCAAATATTCAAAGGATTACTACTGTGAAGGAGGGATGAGACTTATTCTGTTTGATCTCAGAAAGTAGAATGAGAAACAAGGAGTAGAAGTTTCAGGGAGGCAGGTTTCTTCTTGATATAAGGAAAAGCTTCCTAACAATTAGGTCTATCCCAGAGTGGAAAGGGCTGCCTTAGGGGGAAGTAGGCTCCCTCTTACTGAAAATCATCAAGCAAAGTCTGGAGGACTACTTGTGAATATTGGAACTGGGATTCTTGGTCAATTATGAATCCAGGCATCTTTAGTTTCAGGTACCTTGTAACTATGAGACTTAGGAATATAAATTTGACTTGTTACTATGTAAGAGTTACTACTTGTAACTAGTATATTATAATATAAATATGGGATGTTATTATTAATGTGGTAAATCTGTCAATAAGTTGTCAATGAACATTTATTAAGTGCCTATTATGTGCCACGCACTGTGCTAAATACTGGTGATACAAAGAAAGGTGAAAGACAATCCCTGCTATCAAGGAGCTTTTATGCCACCTAATGCTATTATATCACATGACAGAGCTTGCTTTTTATTGGAGTTGAGGGTGGGAAGACATGGAATGCTTCAAGGACTTATCTTTGAAAGAGTATCGAAGGAAATGGACATTTTTATCTCCAGAAATCAACTGTGATTGTGATCTGCCATTAAAATCTGAGGCTGTTTTCAGGCCACCAGTTACAGGGCATTATGTGGGAATTGAGGGTGCATGAGAAAAATGAGTTGGGGGGGGTGGTTATAAACTGCTTGATTTTTTTTTTATAAGAAGTCTTGGATAAGTGTGAGATATAGGAGAGAATCATTAAGATGTGAGAGGGTGACCCTGAGGGAGTTTATTAAAAGCTGAAAATCCCTACAGTTGCACACCATGTCTAAAGCACAGGCAGATGAGGAGAATAGGTTAATAGTGAAGATGACTGTATGTCAGGAAATAGATATCCAGGAGGGGCCTTTTAGAATACAACATAAAAATGACAGAACGGTTATCTTACCAGGTAGGCCTCCATCTCAGGTGGTTTTTAAAGAAATGAAGAAGAAAAATGGATCCAGGCAAATTTCTTATTAGTATCCAATGAACCCCAAAATGGTTGTGATTTGTGCTGTTAAAGCAGTTGTGATGTAGGGATAGAGGTCCTAGACTGTGACTCAAAATACCTACATTCTATTCTATGTTCTGTTGCCGACTGTGTATCTTCACTGTCATTTCCACCACTACTATCCCCACCTTCCGAGTTTCTTCCTTTGTAAAATAGGAGAGAGAATCTGAGAATTTACGACTTGGAATGGCCCTAAGTGGCCTACTCCAACCCATACTGGAAAAAGCATCACCATTATAACATCCGCAACAAACAGTTTTGAAACCTTCAGTAGAGGGGTGACTCACCACATCTCTGAATAGCTGTGATTGTTAAGGAGTGTTTCTTTATCTAAAATCTAAATTAACGCCTTTGGAAATTCCATTGATTATTTCAGCTTCTGCTCTCTGTGACCAAGCAAAACAAGTCTAATTTTTCCTCCACACATCAGTCCTTCAAATGCTTGAGATATGTGACCCTTTCTTACTCTGATATACTGTGATTAAATGATTTAACAAGACCCTTTGTGAGAGGTAATAGAGAGCTATTGTAGCTTCCTAAGCAGGAGAATTTTTTGATGAAAACATTTCTAAGGTTTTGAGAAGATGAATTTGGCCACAGTGTATAAACTTTAAACTCTGGAGAAGTTTCTAATATTAGTTCTTCTAGTTCAGCCCTGGTCTCCACTGTGAATGTTTATTGTTGAGTGAACCATCTTCATCTTTGACAATCTAGTTTAGACATTTTCCATTGCTAGAATAATAACAACTTAGATGTTATAATGCTTTGTGTTAAAAATACTTTCTATTTATGAGAATGAAAACTAACATTTAAGGATTTCAAAGTGCCTCACATATACTATTTTATTTGATCTTCACAACAACCGCTTGAGTAAGGTTATTATCTCCATTTTACACATGAGAAAATTGAAGCTAATAGATGTTAAACAGCTAGTAAGCTTCTGAGATTGGGTTCAAATTCAGGTCTTCCTGTCTTATAGGGTTATAGATTTAAGGATGGAAGGGATTTCACAAGCCATCTGGTCTAACATCACTCATTTTACAGATGAGGAAATCGAGGTTTAGAGCAGTAAAGAGATTTGTCCAGAATCACACAGAAAGTGTCAGAGGTGGGATTTGAACCCAGGTCTTTATGGCACTCTAGTATGACAGTAACACCTTGCTATCTCCTTACAGCAACCATTGAAGGGAGATAAGGTAGGGGTTATGTTCCAAACTAACACATGGGGGAACTGAGGCAAAAAGAGGCCAATTGACTGCCCAAGGTCAAATAACTACTAAGTAGCAGAAACAGGACTTACACTCAGGCCTCCTG